TCAACCAATACATGAACCTGAACGACTCAGTACACCCAAGAATAATGGTGATGCTTTTAATTAATACAGTGTTTTGGCAAGAGTATGTTTTGAAGAATGCTTGAGAGAATGAAGCATTTATTTCTACTTGTTCGTGCACCTTCATAAACTACCGCTGTCCTCTATGTTTGACTTGTCAAAACACACATACTCACTTGAAGAGAAAGAAAATTATATCTATAACAGAAAACTAACAGTTTTAGCTTTATATGTTTTTATGTAACAAGAACCTGAATGAAGTTGATTCTGAAACACAAAAAATAAATTTTATTTGGTTTAGAAATAACAAAGATTTCAATTTGAACGACTTTACTACTGATATGCTTCAAAAATGTATTGGAACTATATCCATCATAACTGAAACTGAGGATGATAGCCTGTATTATATTATCAGTGTCATTATTTTTCCGGTTTGAAGGCCGTCGACTTTTCGAATTTCTTCCAGACGTTTCACTGGCGCGAGTGGCTAGCTTCTTCTATTTTGTCAGTATTATGCTCAGAAACATGATAATTCCAGGGGATTATATAGGATGAATGGAAAATCTACAATAAAAATACAAATCGCAATGCATTTCTTCTAGATTTGCTGAATCCCCGTGAAATTAATAATTGTTTCCTTAATGTTGTTGATAACTCTTAAGTGGATCGGAAATAACTAATAGATAACTTGAATAGTAACAAAATTAATAAAAACAGTTTTTGGTTCTCAAAAATTACTAACAAGAACATCATTGATAATCTCAGTAGTTCGGAGTTTGTTCAATGATTCTTTGAATCGGGACGCGTTTTCCCCAAATCTGGAAATCCATCAATATCCTGTCTCTGGCTAGAATCTTCAGCCTATCCAGTTTCGCGTATCCACGGGACGCGTTTTCCTCAAATCTGGAAATCCATCAATATCCTGTCTCTGGCTAGAATCTTCAACCTATCCACTTTCAATGACTTGACAATGACTTCGAAAAATAATCACGTCTAAAGTAACTGATTTTTAAATATAACAAAGTGCTTTCTACGATTCAAGCAGGATTCAGAAAACACCATAGTACAAATACTGCCTTATTGAAAGTGGTGGACGATACATCTACATCTTTTGATAAATCAAACTGCAAAATTTCAGTTTTGCTAGACTGAAGTAAAGCTTTTGATCTTGTCAATTTTGAGTTCTTAGTTGCGAGGATCGGATTCAGTGATAAAGCCTTAGATTGGTTCATAAGTTATCCCAATGGAAGATTACAGAGAGTCAAAACAAATCATGATCTGAATAACTTTTTTCGAGATCAATTGCCCTAACACCAATCTGTTAGGGCAATTGATCTCGAAAAAAGTTATTCAACTTTCACACCAAAGGTTCCAATCTCATCGTTAAATCATGATCTCATTTCAAAATTCAGAGTTACATCTGCAGGAGTACCACAGGGCAGCGTATTTTCAATATTTACTTACAATCTATCTAATGTGCTAGAGTCTTCGGCCATTCATGTATATGCAGATGACATGCATCGAGTATGCGACTAAATGGTTAAGGTGACACTGAGCATGGGACTCTCTAGTAGAATTCCATATTGTAGCTATCTTTTCAGAACTTGAGAACTTATCAGATTGGTCTATCAAAAATGGACTCAGAATAAATCCAAACAAATCCATTGCATTATGCATTGGTCCAAAGGAAAATTAGTGAAAAAATGTCTTATAATCTCTCAATAAATGATTTAACTATTCAATGGGTATCTACTGAGAATAATCTTGAGGTATATCTGGATTGTAATTTAATATTTAATCAAAACGTGACATACATTACTGATGTCTAAAATTCTTCAAGCTGAAATCTCTGCACCATCTTAAATATCAGCTGTGTGAAACTCTCAAATTGAAACTAGTTAAATCATCAATATTTCCACACACTGACTACTGCTGTATGGTTTTTTGCTTTCCAGTTTCAACATATATAAATTACAAAAAATTCAGAAAACTGGTTTGAGATTTATCTACAACATCCAATATAAGGAACATGTAACTCCTTTTCTTTTGAAAATCTTGTCGAATTGAAAATTATGAATAGGGTTAATATTCCTTCATCATGTCTTTATACAAAATTATTTAATCACAAATACCATCCTATTCACATAGCTTACCAATTGGTGAAAAGGTCATTGGTACACAATGTAAATGTAAGAGTTAATATTTTTACAACTCCACAACATACATCGAGCAAATTTGAAGGTTGCTTTTCATATAATGCTCCTGGATTTCTTAAACTAATCTAGAATGAAATAGGACTTCCATTTACTGAGTTTACAAATAAAGTAAAATACAGTCTTCAGGCAAAACACTGATTTAGTGTTTTGCTACCACTTTAATTGTATTTAATAGTATAATGTTTTAATACTGAACAAGTAAAAATTTACTAGAGGAAATGGAAGTACGGCTGAGCAAAATTCCCTCTGTTTGTGCTGTTATTCTGTTCTCTATGTTCATTATGTACTGCTCAATAAACACATTATTATCATCATTATAATCTTCATCCATTTCAGCATAATATAAACGTATTCCTATAAAATGTCAAAACAATTACAGTAGCACTACATCACATTTTATTGATAGTTAAAAATGTATTTATGAAATGAAATTGTGAGATAAAATTCAGTTGTAGTAAGACAGAGTGAACACAACCTTTTTCAAAACAGAAATCAAGAAAAATATAGTATAGTATATGCTCTGAAATACTGTGATAGTTCATTATATACACTTAAGATGAATTATATTTCTTTCTACAAATGAAAATTTGAGACATTTGTTATTTGGTAAGCAGTGAATGATTTATTTTCAGATGCAATATAATATTTTCATAAAATATAGACAGATGAAGAAGAATATTTTGAAATCTTATATCATGGAAAAAACTCTGCTCTAGGGCTTGACTATGTCACAAGAAGCATGTTAATTAATTAAGCTGAATTATGAGATTCACAAGTATATCATAAAAAGCTATGAATTTTGCCTTAAAACTCATTACCTGACAATTGGAAAATGGGCACAATAATTACAATTCCCAAACCAAACAAAGATCACTTTCTAACAGACAGTTATCGTCCGATTACTCTCCTGCCTGTAATTGGTAAAAACTTTGAAAAACTTTTAGGAAACCGTTTACTCCAACTGCTTAATGATAAAATTCCAAGCTACCAGTTTGGATTTAGACAAGGAAGATCTACAATACATCATCTAATGATTCTCACGAACAACATTGAAACAACCTAGCTGAACAACAACAAAACGGCAGCGATCTTTCTGGATATGAACAAAGCATACGATAGCAACTGGCACAAGGGTCTTTTATTCAAACTGCATCAACTGGGCTGTCCTAACAATCTAGTACATACAATTAAGAATCTGCTAATTGACAGGAAACTGAGAGTTAAAATACTGAGTAGTTTTTCAGACGAATTTATCCCAGATCAGGGAGTTCCACAGGGTTCACCGCTCTCACCATTGTTATATAACTTATACAGCTCTGATATTTATCATCACCAACAAGGGAATATCAACCACTTCAGGCATGAAGCATATATTCTCCAGTATGCAGATGACATCGCCCTAATTGCGCACGATCCAACGCTAGACAAAGTTATTAACAATTTGGAACATCTTGCAACAATAACAAATAACTGGTATAATAAATGGAAGTTCCAGCCAAACCCATCTAAGTCTCAGTTCATCATATTTAATCATTGGAACTCCAACAATCAACGTTTTCCAACATATCTTTCATGCAAAATCGACAGTTAATTACCTAGGTGTTACGCTTGATTCCACACTAAATTTCAACAGCCATGTCAATAACAAAAAAAAAGTGATTGCAAGAGCCGCACATTTCACAAGTTTGACAAACCTGGGAGCAGGTGCAAACATATCAACAGCAAGCCGAATATATAAACTAATCTGTCGTCCACTTATTGAATACTCACACCCACTGTTTCTCATTATCAAACAAAGGGCCTTGAGAACAATAAAAATATCTGAAACAACGGCTATAAGGAAAATAACAAGACTAAGGCATCCCGTATAGGTAATTCAGATTTTATTTCTATATGTTTGAAGACAATATTCCAAAAGCATAACAATATTTTGAAATGGCCCTAGCAATCTCATTGATATAACTTTTTCATTCTAGCCTATGTATGTGATGCTCAGAAATGATAACTTCTTTACCGTTTCTAATGTTATTTATTCATGTGTATATGATGATGTTCCGTTTGTGAAAATGAAAGTATTTGATTTTTTCTTTACTGAGCTTCAAATTATTGAGGGTAAGGCATCGGTCAAGTGTTGTGAGTTTTAAGAAAATATCATCCTGTAATAGTATAAGTCTTCTGGAACTAAAAACCACCGAGCAGTCATCAGCATTCTGATGTGTTGAGAAGATCGTTGGTGTGAAATAATGGTCCCAATATAGACCCCTGTGGAACCGCTTTGAGGACAGTAAGTTTTTTCAGATTTCAGCAGTTCTCCAGTACGATTCATCTCGGAGACACATTGAGATCTATCAGTCTCAGAGAGCTTGATAAATATATAAACACATTTGTGTACTTCCTTTGAAGAATTGTTTTTTTCTAGAAAATGATGTGGTCTTCAATGTAGATTGCTTTTTTCAGATCTCATCGTTTTCCCAATGACATTTCCTCTTCCAATATTTGGAATGGTTTGAATTCAATAGTATACTGAATACACATGAAAATTATGGATAATCAACTTGAGTTCATCTAGGATGGGAGAGAAATAATACCAGTTGATTATTTAAAAATAAAAACAATGATATAATTTGTTCAAATATCTACAAATTCTATAACATAAATTTTTAAATGCTATCTAAATATGAAAAGAAAACACTGATTTACACAAAGGTACTACTAGTTTTGCACATGCAAATTCGGAGCAAATTTGTGTAGGCAACACTCAGATACTTCAATTGAATAGATTTATTATCAATACTAGCATTAATTACAAATATATAGACAATATACATTTGTGTGTTCCTGTATACATCTTCACTTTTGCATTCCGAGCTGGCTACATATTAAATAACAAAAAGAAAATATAGGAAAACAATGCGCGTCTCCTGCTTACTGTAACATATATACATGTCCATCAGAAACATAAATGACCAATTTCATAAAAATCATATATAAAAAAATTAAGTATTCACGAAATAATCACTTTCCATTTTCGCAACAATAATTAATAGTCATAAGTATTTACATATTTAAATAAAAAAGTATTTGAATTGTCATGAGAGATCACTGCGTTGAAAAAATTTAGCAACTCGCGTCAGATCACTATAATTTCTTTTGAATGTGACAGTTTTTAAATACGCAATTGTTTATTACACATAATTATCACAATTTCATTAATTTTTAACTACACCGAGTGTTTTATTTTCTTTCATCTTTTTCACTGTGTCCTCTTAGTACATCACTTCATACACCGTCGCTTTCTTGTCGCCAGATCCAGTCACGATGTACTTGTCATCTGCTGAAATGTCACAACTCAACACGCTTGAAGATTCTTTCGACTGAAAATAAATGAAAATTTATGAAAATATAAGACATTATAAAGATAATCCTGTTGTCAAGGTTGCATGTAGTAAAGATAAAAATTTTGCTTTTTCAATGTAGAATAGGTGTAACAAAAATAATAATGATACTTCATTAGTCCTCAAGTTATGTGTTATTACATTATAGATTGTCAAAAAAAGTTTCATATAAAACAACAAAATCTCTCATTTCTAGAGAAAAATATTGTTTACACAATAAGGTATCAATACAAACCAATGAGCCTTTTTCCTGAGAATAGTTCAGCGAACGTGTCACGAGAGGCAGCACTAGTAGAAGGGACAAACATAAACTATTCACATGTGAAATGTGTTTTTTGTACCATTTATAAAACCTCATATTAATGAGTTAGATGTAAGAAATGAGTGGAGAGTGGATTTAACAGTGCAATAAATAAATATTCATATGTATGTTCTAAACATGAAATCAATAGTAAATTTTTCATAGTTAATTACCATTGATCAGAATGAGATATAACCTCAATTGTTCATTAAATTATATTCATTATATTCAATTCATTACCATGTGTATTTGATTCATATTTATAATGTTACAACATTGTTATCCTTTACTGTTACAAATTTTAGTTTTGCTCCAGAAATATTTTCTTCTGTTGAAAACATTCTTTTTTAATTGTTCCATCTATATTTGATTCATATTTCACTCGGAAATAAATCTGAAATTCATAATTACTTTAAATTTCTTTTACTACAGTTTGAATCTACCGCTACTCTTTTACTTGAGTCTGTATACTAACCTGTCTAATAATTCACTTTTTTTTTCAGTTAATTTTAAATTACATCATGCAAGCCAACGTTTTAATGTTACAACATTGTTATCCTTTTCAGTTGCAAATTTTAGTTTTGCTCCAGGAACATTTTCTTCTGTTAAAAACATTCTTTTTTAATTGTACTTTACCATATGTTTATATGAGGATTAGGCAGTGTTTGTCCCTACCGAACTACTAGCGCTGCTAGTGAGTGATTTTTTGTACTTCAGGTAAAAGGTTCATTTGGAAATAAGACAAGTGAAAAGCTAACACACATGTAAAATTGAAATGATATTGAATTTTATGGATACATAGTCTCCACATCTCTGAATAAATGGATTTCACAAGTAGATGTATTAGATTATCAATTAGCTACTAATTATTTGAAAATGTTTGACTAATTATAAGAATCAACTTCAAGATGGTTGTCAACCCATCTTCGATTATAAAATCCTAACTGCATCCTCAATTTATACATTAAAATAGTTCTGCTCAATTTTTTACAACAGAGTTGAAAATCCTACCTGGAATATACTAGCTCCATAAGGCGTCCGCCAGGCATTTAATAAATTGTCCTTTCCGGTCGACACAAACCACTTCCCGCAAGCGGCGAACCTCAGACTAAGCACGCAGCTCTCGTGCAGGTGCAGCTGGTACTTGTCAGGCTTATTGGCGTGCAGCACCTCTACATTGCTGTTTTCCATACCAACGGCCAACCATTCGCCCATTGGGCAGTAGCCCAGCGAGAAGATCTGCGAGCTGAAGTCGTGCTGCTGCAGTTGTCTGCCCTCGCGGAGGTCCCAGCTACGCACGGTGTTGTCCAGGCCGCCCGTCCAGAGTTTCGTGCCCTCCGAAGAGATGTCTATGCAAGAAGCGCCGTCAGTGTGACCTTGGAATTGTCGAACTAGGGTTTGGTTGTGTAAGTCCCAGACGGCGATGTTACCTGGAATGATGGTTGTTTTTATTTGAAAATTGAAAATATGTGATATATAAACCACTTCAAAACGTATTTAGCAGAGATCTTCTGAATCAAACAATATCAGTATTGTCAGACTGGACGAATAGCAATGGAAAGCACATTTAATTTGATGGACGGTCCATCATGGACCTCTAGTCTCCAAGACATCACAAGTAATAAGCTAGCAGATCAAGCAACCAAAGATGCTATCGAAATAACTAATGTTGTGAGTTTCCTATTCTTGAAAAACTATGACTTTATGGCAAAATGATAGATTAGTTGAAAGAAAGAGAGCCAAACTGGATGCATTTATCGCTACAAAAACTGTGGATCATCTATTTGAAAATAGGGCAAACCATATTCGTGATCTCAGAAAAACAACCTGGTTATTGATACTGAAATAGAAAAGACTGATGGAAAAAGATCAATAACCTCATTCTCGACGACATTCAAAAAGAAAAAACACACTGATATATTTTACACCTAAAATTTTAATATAGATGATCTATGACTGTTAATATTAATGTTTTAATTGGAATATCAAAGCTCCCAGTCAGCTAGATTCTTTGATTTAGGTTTTGCTGATCAACCAATGAGTATGAGATCGAAGACTTCCACTGCCAGAGTCAGTGGTTTATAAGCGTTGACTAGGAAAAAGGTTGAAGATATATTGTTCCATGGCCAGATTTTGTTTTCTCTAACAAGAGAATACTTGAACTGCGAGATGAGTTTCAATACTGCAAGGTAAGTTTCAGACAACTGACAAAATACATAGGATTAACCCATTTCAAGGCTTGGATGAACTTGGGGAGACATAAGCTATTTGAGATTTTCTCATTGACTCACCATCAGAACAACAGCTGAAGCAAACTTTTGAATCCGGGCTGATGGCAAGTGCATAACAAGCTGGAGCGCTTGACGTCAATTCTGCTTTGATTCGTGGTGTGGGACTCGCTAGGTCCCATATCGAAAGGTTGCTGGCTTCTCCTCCTACTATCAGAGTTCTACCATCAGGAAGCAGTTTCACAGATCTTATGTAATTGTCACGTTGCTGAAAATTGAAAAGATGTTGGTAAGTTATTCATAATAATGATATACATTTCAAAATTTATTCTTTATATACTAGAGTGTAGGATCCGATCGTACATACTGCGCCACATGAGTAAAAGTTCATTAACATTATTTCTCCATATGGTATCCATCAATCCAACACAAACGACACTTCATATTACAAAAAGTACTCACCAAACAATCTAACTGTGATACGTGACTCTTGGATCCTGGTTGGCTTATGTCCCATACCTTAACGCACCCTTTTCCGCCCGTATACACATATTTGGTGGGGTTGGAGATGGTGACTGCACACACGACTTCTCCGTGGCTGAGGGTATTTATTTGTCTAGCGTGGCGGGGAATCCCTGGACCTACCAGGGCGTCTGGAGGAAAAGGAACCGGTTGCATCTGACCGTCTGCACTGACGTGAAAAGAATAGGCCCTGAATATGAACAGATGTTTGAGTAAGCGTTTTATTTCATTTTGAAAGAGTAATGTAGCGGTTTGCGGTCAGGAAATCCCCGAAAAAAATATCCTGGTGAGTTATAACTCAGTTAAAATATCCTTAACAAAACAATCCTCTGACAAATATGCCCCACTATAAAAACATGATATGATAATAATATCTCACCACAAAATTATCCTGATAGACCCAGGAGTCAAGCCAAGGCGAAGGTTATAATAAGAATTATATTAAATCTGTAGAAATGACAAGGTTTATTCTGATATTGGGTATAATTTAACAATACAATATTCTGCCTAGCTAGTTAGAGAGGGGATCAGATTGGTTATTATATTATAGAGAGAGGCAAGGTGACCGGATTAACTATAGATGGGAAAAGGTCATAATAGCGAGTAAGTCCCAAGTGAGGCGGCTGACTCCCTTGCAAAGGGGGGTGCTGCAAGCAGCTTCATCGGACCAGAACCTGTCATTGGCATCGCTTTAGGCTTTGCCAAACAAACATTGAACACGTGGATGCCAAGATGACTTATAGACTTCTGGCAGAATCTTCCAGTATTGGCAAGACAATCAGTGTGTGTTGTCTCTATTTGGAAAATGATGGAAGACCAGAGCACATACTGGCGCTGTTCGAGTAAAGATATTCGTGAATATTACATTTCATGAAGATAAGTGGATTAGAAAAGATCCATACATTACAAGGCCAACTGGAAAATGGCAGATTGGGAGACCCCTGAGAATAATGCAAAACTAAACAACTTAAACAAGATTAGTTAACAATACCTTAAATATAAATAATACAATAAACAAAGCTGAGTTGCTGTAGAAATTCAAGTGCTGGCAACTCTAGGCTGAATACTAAAAATTTACTACCTTAAAAAATGATCATTTGGATGACAGAGTCTTGAGACCGAACATTCATAATATTATAATTATGAAAGATAAATATAAAGATATTCAAATATTTGTGGATATTACTATTGCGGGATATTTTTGGCGGGGACTTTTTTGTTTGGGATATTTTTGAGTGGGACACTGATGGGATATTTTCCTAGGAATTTTCTGACCGGAATTTACATACAGCTTGGTCAACTTGCAACTACTTACGGTTTTCCTCCAGCAATAGCTCCAAGTCCTGGTACAACTGGGGCCCTCATTTGAGAATGTGGATCATAAGCGACTTGCAAGGGGGGTCTGGGGTAGTTATTTAAAGCCGCCGGAGGGATGTTATTGTGCAGGCCAGCATAGTTTCCCGCAGCAGCTGCAGCTTGTAATTCGTGTGGACCTGCACCTATGAAAATTGAATGAATATGTCAATGAAATTTTTCAACTAATAGATTTTTGATCTTAATTGTGAAGCGTAAATGATTTGTTAAAGGTGGAGGGAGGCTTGAGAGTTGTCTAAATAATTCCTGACAAGCGCGTCTTCAACCGAATTAGTATAGATACAGTGCGTCTCAAATTGTTTCCAAAGAAAATAAAATATGTATTCTGTCCATGAAGAGTGTTCAAAAGAAATTTGTTTACGGGATAGGCCAGGAAAATTAATTTTCATTGAGCATTAGTTACATCAGATTCGCAATCCTAGATCTGTGCTTGAAGTTTAACGAAACAATTGAACTTGATTAATAGAACTAGAATATCAGGCGTATTTGCCATTTTTGACACGAATATTAGCTACAAAGAACACAATGAGGTTTCAAAAACAAGAGAAATCTAGTGTCGGTACACTAGCTTTAGAGAGAGACCACAGAAGTGAGAAATGTTTGAAATTGTTGAGATCGGTACAAGGACAGGTTTTGATGTCTTCGAAAATTTTGAAATACAAAAATATGCACTTGGATCTCTGTACAGCGACAAAGGTGATAGATAATTCCTCTAGGTGTCTTTAAAAAATTAACACAGCTATAAGATTCAATTTTATTCAACTCATGACGATGACAATTGGTTTACGAAACTTATGCCTATAGACAGTATGGTGTGGGAAATGTGTTTTTATAGAAGAAATTCAAGTAACTAAGAATAACAGCATATTCATTATACTTATCTAGCTTATTACTGTTCAATTTAGTTAATAGTTGCAAATTAATTTTAAGGAACACTATAGAAAAACGCACCAAACATCTAAAGAAACACGGCGAAGCAAATGTTCAGTATAAAACAACATTTTCAATGCCACAGTTTAGAATTCACTTTTGCAATTTAAAATTTTCACTTTAACAATTGTATGAAAAGGTGAACTGGTTAGTTTATTTATTATTTTTTCTCCTATAACTATATATACATAATATTTGAAAGGAATATGGAATATTGTTTATTATTTTTATCAAGACATCTACAAGAAATTTTAAACATTGTAACAAAATTGTAAAACAGATAGGTAAAAAATTTACTTACTAACTTGAGGTTATAGTAAAAAGTCAGATGTGGCAATGAGAAAAACAAAGTTAATACTTTTCATCATGTAGAAAAGTGTCACACATTCAATTTAAAGTTACAAAGTTTAAATAAAATAAGTATTTTTTCTTAACTAGTCAGTTAAGACTACCCTTCGCTTTCTTATATTTGGAAGGTAGAATTTGAAGCTCTTGCGTAGAATCAATTAATAATAAGTCCCAACACTAGAATTGAAACACTCTTTTTGACACGCTTCTTCATTAGATGAAGTACAAAACGAAGACACCAACTTGGTGAAAGGCGCGTCGAAAAGAGTATTACGATTCTGGTGATTGGAAACAGTTGGAGGTCACCTTCAAACAAATCATATTGTGTATATAGACTGAATTCATCGACTACAAAAGCAATCGGATGCTTCATTCCAAAACACAGTATGTGAAAAATTGATGATTTGTCGAAGAAGCAAGAAGAAGATAAAAAAGGAGCAGATAATGTGTTTTGATTAGCTATATCTACGGACCACCAAATCATAAACAGATCGGCTTTGAAAATGCATCGAAACATGGTATGTACAAATATGCATACAACAAATTTTTCGTTTCTGTGTCAGTTAATGTTATTTGGTATGGATCAACTTCAACGTGGTAATGTCTAGTGTATCGAGGGCAATAAAGAAAAATGTGGGAGCGATGAGTTCGCTTACTACAGAAGTTACCGACAGTAATTTGCCGTACATAGAAAAACTTTCCAACTCTAACAAAACATGCTAGTTTCATTTATATAAATGGGGTGTGAGCCAGTAGCCCAGTGTGAAATAGAACTGAGCAAAAACAAAAAAGCCATGTGTGGGGAGTAGCCTGGGAGGCTCTGTAATGATAATAATAATTCATTACCATTTGCCATCAGATACGAAGGGGGATACTGCCCGAGCCCTCCCTGCTGCTTGACAGGCTTCATGCCTCCGACCCCCGAAGAGGAACCTGCGGCAGATGTCGGCGTTACAGATTTCGAAATCGGCGTCGACGGTTTATCTTCCATTTTTTTCGTCGAGGGTGTTGAGGCGTTGCTCGACGTCCCCGATCTAGGGCTGTGCGGTCCGGGGTGTTCCTTTTTGGGCATCTTATCCAAGCCGTTCTCACGGGGGGAGCTGGTGCCGTTCGGGGGGGATACTGGGTCTTCAGACGCATCGTCGACCACTAGGTCTTGGTCACTTTTTTCGCCGTCGCTATGCTAGAAAAAAAAAACGTGAAAATTAGTAAGGTTTTTGGTACGGAAATGTAAAACAATCTCATTGTTGACATAATACTAATAAGGCCATAATCAAAATGGGTTTCATCTGTTGTTTATTGGATGGCTCATGAAAATTTGAGGAAAATTTGTAGTTTGAACTGTATCAGTGAATTTTCTCAAAAATATTTTAGGAACTGCAACAAATCATTGATATGTTTTCAGTCGTTTTTACATTTTAGATATAATTTATACTTGAAAAAATAATTTCAAATCCTGAAACTGGACACATTTTCCTGAAAACCTATTGTTTCTTGGGCAGAAAATTCCAATCAATGTCATATTTTCTGGATCTTTTCAAGGTTCTCCATGTGGTTCCTAGCAGAAGACTGTTGTACAAACTCGATAATTTTGACAACCGAGGAAACTTAATTTCTGGATGACAGGCTATACGGCAAATGAAAGTTTTAGAACATAAGTCCCTAATTAACTTATCTCACGACATTGCAGTCACAAGTGGTGTACCCCATGGCTACAATATCGAGCCACTTGTCTTTACAATTTATGTAAGTGAGATCCCACATAAGAAGTTACGAATTTTTCCACAGTAATGCAAAAATATACTCCATTCCACTGATTAGTCATCAATCTTTGGTGTAGTAATAAATATTACTGGAGTTTTTTCCCCAATACCAAATCGTTATTTTTAACACCTCGACACGTGTTTCGATCACCAAGTGATCATCTTCAAAGAGGAAGATTAAAACTAAAAACTAACACGAAGCTAACCCTATTTATGCTATATAGATATCCCATACAGGTAAACCATCCAGGTGTACCACCCATACAGCTATACCAACTTAAATTAATTTTACAAATTTTCCTTATCTATTATTTTACAATATATGTTTAACTGTCATAGCTGTATATAAAACAATTTTCAGCTATATAAAAATTTATTTCACAATATTGCCTATCTAAATTTATTTTTGCAATGTGTCCTTATGTAGTAATCGGTGAACCCAACAATATTATTTTAACAAATTATGTATTATGCTCTTTGGTATAGGTCCGTCATCGTTATTCATAATATTATTGTGTTTACTTATTTCTACACTCTCATAGGCATTTAGTTGCCTGTTGTTGTTAACTTGTCTAACTAATCTTAATAATCTTACTTTAATATATCTTTTTGTCTGTCCATAATATTTTGCATCGCAGTCCTTACATTCAATTTCGTAAATTCCAGACTGTTCCGAATTATCGATTTTGTCTTTTGGACTTGTTTTAAAAACCACCTTCATACCTAGTTCATATTGTAACTGAACTTTATATCCAAGTAATGCAGTGATAGTCTCCTTTCACGGAATACAGCCAAGAGCACTGTTCTGCACATCGGCAAAAAAGTAAAGTTTTTTTTACATTTTTCAAGAAACCATTTACAGTTTCTCCCCAAGTAAACTTGACTGTATCCAACGCTCAAATCGTGCCAACAACTGCCAAGTGTCTGATCTTCCTCATTCGCAAGACTTTTTCATACACTCTACTTGTAATAAAACTGTATAAGACCTACGTTTGTTAAATTTTAAAAAACTTTGAACATGTATAGTACTCAGTCCTAATACGCGATCGAAACTATTTCAAACTTTTTCATTTTCGATCTACATGTATGACCTACACAGAAAAGAGTCATTTACTGAAAGATTTCTTAAAGCAAACCTGACCTTGGCAGAGATTGGCGAAAAGTTTGGTCGAATTAAAGTTGTTATGAGCAATAGATTCTTTTGGATTTTGAATAGATCAATTCAAGTTGACCTAACCTAAACCTAATCTCTTTCCAGCAACGCACATTTTGGAGAGATTTTTCCCTTTCTATCTTTTCTTTTCACATTTTCAGATAAAATGTCTGAGTCATCTTGATTTCTGACGATCACTTGCATGTGCATCAGAAGAAATTGAAGAAAGATACATTCCAAACGAAACAACGTCAACTCTTTTTATGCAACCGTATTTCTACTACGTGGAAAAAGCATTGATCAAAAAATAATTAGAACCGCATCTTCAAGGTATCCAAAAAACACCTCATTATCAATGTATTGTTTACATTAATGTGTACATTGCTGAGCCTCAATCGCACTTTCGTTCTCAGCCTTCAATTACGCATAATAAAAGAGGTCCAAATGCGGCTCCTCGAAGAACTTCTTGCCCTGCCATATTCGGCCGCTGGTACCATTAGGATTTGATGAATCCTCGATCATCCTGGGAAGAATCCCAGGATGATCGAGGCCCCCGACTGCCATATAAGCGTTCATCGAAAAATCCGTGCATGGCATTAATGCCTTCATATTTTATGTAAGACCGTCTCGCGGAAGCATAAACAGGCCATAAACAGGCAACTCCAAATGCAGGGAATGTTTTATTATAATGTAAAATATCTCCGTAGAGGGCTTTTATGTCGGTAATTCGAGAAAGTGGTGCGTGAATTACGTCGACGAGACGTCTTGAGATCTTTGTTCTGCTTCTAGTCTGCGAATACTATTATCCTAATAGCACCTGATGATGCGCGGTACGTCTCTTTCTGGAAGTTTCAAGTACGAACCACTAGGATAAAAATGTATATATTAAACAACAGTTTGACGTTGAAAAGTTTCGGAATGAATGATTTTTCACATATAAATACTACGACCAAACGTAAACCAACTGAGAGTGATCAAAATTTGACTTTTTAAGGTTTTTAAAATCTGTAACGACCAGGTTGCCAAGTTGAGATTTTTTTTAAAGTCTTTCAGAAATAAGTTTTGAATCAATGATGAAGGTTTTTTTGTTACTATTTGACACCTAACATTGACCAGATAAAAATATTTTGTATTTCACAAGCCTTTATTTAACTTGCAATGTATATCTGTACGTTTTACCATGTTGAATCTTGCAACCGAATCTGAAAGCAGTTATCGATTGTATCTGCCAAATTTATGGGACCCCAAAATATCTGAAAATTGCCGGCAAAAACTTTTCCAATTTTCCGATTCAGCTCTATTTCAACAAATTGACATAACTAACTCTAATTCTGTGAAGTTTCAAATCAATTTTTTGTTTCCTACGAATAACATAGTCTTCTATGGGTTGTGACAGACAGATAGACATTTTGAACGCACCTCCTCCATTGCAACTAAGCTCAGTCTATCTAACAAACAAAGTGTTGCCAACTGGAAGAACTGTAAAGTCGCTACACATGAACCAAAATTCCGCTACACTGCTTCATATTCCGCTACGCTGCTTCATATTCCGCTTGTGTATCTGACGGAATCAGTTAGCACATGCGCCCTATCCAAAATTAAACACCACAGAACTTACAGTTTGTAGTTTGTGTACCGGTCAGATATCACAAAACTGCACTGTATCAGGAATCAGGATCATGCTAATTTTTAATCGCGCAACTCAGTACCTAGGTGGTACCTAATTTACTAAATTTACAGCAGTTAATTTTTGAAAGCTGTCGTCTCGACTAAATATTTCTTATCTTGAAATAATGATTTTGAAAAGTAAAAATAAATATCAATTCGTTCACACTCAATAGTCACACTGATCTCTTGAACGATCATTTGCGACACATCTAATCCATCCTTTCAAGTTGGAATCAGACAAACAATGTTGAGAAAAAGTTTGTTTGTGAGACTTTTATAGTATAATATGTCTCGTTTTCGTCAATTTCAACTCAGGTAGCTCTTTCGCTCAAGCTACAATCAGATGACATATCTTCCATTTCCACTGTAATTTGATCCATATAATTTATAATACTCGAGACTTTAAGTTTCAAGATATTGGAGGTTGTTACATGGTTCATGATATCACAGCATAGTTAACAATTATGCTGTGATGATATGAATGATAATATCCAAAAATATTCTTCTCGATCATCATGTAATGGCATCAGCTATTGAGACTATAGCTGACTGTTCATTCAATTATTCTTTTTTTTTTTCAATAATGGTTATTTGTAGAAAATTCCGCTACTTTATGTTCAAATCCGCTACGCCGCTACCGTCGAGTAAATTCCGCCACAGTAGCGGAATTCCGCTATGGTTGGCAAATCTGAACAAAGTAACCCAAACAACGTGGTCAAAGCATGATCAACACGCAAATTTCTATCTATTGCCGCCTCACGCTGGCCAATCAGATTCAACTGCAATCGGCTGGCAGAATTCATTCAGATATATCGCTACAGGATCGGAGTGGTGAGTTACGTTTTAACGCCTGTAGTGTATACATATACTGTATTTCAAAGTTTGAAATTATTAAAATGTCAAGTACTGATACGGCTGAAGAAAATACTAATTTGTGTCCGTACACTCCTTCTAAAAAATGTTCCTATACCCAGTTAGAATCATTGAACGTCAGTAACACGACGTTGTCCTTTGAAGAACGTTGTCCTTTGAAGAACAATCAATGGATGAACACTCGAAAAAACAACCCCGCTTCATATTGTGCAGAAAAATATGAATTATTGAACCTAATTCCTAGGAAAGTATCAACTTCAACGTTAATTTAAAGAAAAGTGGATTGAATGAACAAATCACTAGCCGATCTCTGCTACCTACGCGTATGGACGTCATTCAGACGAGTTGACATCAATCGTGTAGTTGAAATGGGCGATAAACTCCGACGATTACATTTCAATCATAATAATAGCCGTTTTATAGGGGACAGTAAAGGAAATTCGAAAATTTATTGGCTCCAACTGATGTTTTATATTCGGCTTACACGTAGGTGCTAGGTCATCAAATTAACTTTTATGGGGGTCTTTGTAGATGGATGAGGATAGACACGGTCGACATTTTGACGGTCGATATATAACACCTAACCCTAATTTGATAACTAAATCGGGAGACGATGAAACATCTGGAGGCTGTTCATGTTGTGATCAATCACTTTCCGTGAGTCACTGAACTTTTTGGTGGTACTTGACGAATGCTTTCAAATTGAAATACACCAAAGAATTGGAA